TTACTGAATAGTCATTTAAACGGGAGTTGGCTGTAACCATTACTCGAGATTTAATCCTTTGTACTTTTCCACCAATTCCTTTGACGCTTTGGTCGACATGGGTTTTCGGTAACCGCAAAATCTGTGCCATACGTTCGGTTATAAAATTACTTTGTCNTAAAATTACTTTGTGATGCAGAATCTAGTAACACGCGACACTGCTCCCATTCACCACGATTACTCTGGACCAAAACAACTGCGGTTGGTAATAATATCGACGTAGCAGCCGGTAAGCTAGTATGTGCACTAACGGTTGCTAATTCATTTTGAACTACTTGTTTTGACTCGCTATTTTCCAAAATTTCCGTTACGTTTGTTGCTGAGTTGAACTCTGACTGATCGGTCCGTGCACTTAAGTGTAAAAGTGTATTTTGTGGCTTGCCACACTTAAAACAGCCTTGAGCCAAACATTTTTTCTTAGGGTATGCCTGTAGACAATTCCTGCATAAATTGCGCTCACTAATGCGCTTAATGCGTTCACCTACGGACAAGGCCAAAAGACTAGGACATCGATACACCGAGTGATTTGAGTGACAATTAAAGCATTTTTTGTCCGAATTTGTCACCGCATAAGCATTGCTCCGTACCATAGATTTTCTGACATCTTGACTATGAGTAGCCGGTGCTGTTGCGTTTCTCTGATTTATGGCTTTAGATGATTCGATCGCTTCTAAAATTTTAAACCGTTTTTCTAAAAATTCCACCAATTCAATAATTGTAGGAAGAGAGTTCTGAGCCGATTCCGTTTCCCACGCTCGAAGACAACTTCTATCTAACTTGGTGGTTACTAAATACGTTAACATAGGACTCCACGACTCTGGCTCTTGATCAAGGGTTCTTAATGCTTGCATGTGTCCTTTTATTGAATCTGTAAACGCTCGAAGTTTAATTGCTGATTCTACAGTTAACGTCTCTAAGTGAAATAACGCTTTTACATGGGCTTGTATTAGACTTTTTTTATTGTTATATCTTTCAATTAATGTCCGCCATGCCACTGCGTAATTTGACGCCGTGATTTCCAAACAATTAACAGCCTGTTTGGCATCGTCTTTTAAAGCCGCTTTCAAATAAAAAAATTTTTGTATGTCTGACAATTGGTCGTTGGTATGAATTAATGCCGAAAAAATATCATAAAATGTTGTCCATTGCTTATAGTCGCCATGAAATGATGGGATATCTAGCGGGGCTAATCTAATAGCTGGCGCCGCTACTGTTGGTGTCGCTACGATTGAAGATGTTGCTGCCGTATTCCCTACAACAGCGTCTGACGCGTTGCTGACTACCCTACTCAATTCAGATAGCCTCTTCTCCGCAATCGTACTGGCTTTAAAGTATGAGTCTTCAAAATCAGCTCTATAATTTTGTTGTTCCTCTACGTTTATCCCTTCTAGCATGTCGATTTCCAACTGTACTTGGTCGTACTCACTCCATGCTTCCTCAATTTTTTCTCTTCTAAGCCGAATTTCGATTAGGTCCGACTTTTCGTCTTGTACAAACTTTAAAAATTTTGTCAATGCTGATTTTAATTGACCTCTCCTTATGCTTAATCGCGTAACTTCATTTTTGCGATTATCTTCAGGCATAATTTGTTTTGTTCGTTTTTACCGATAATAAATAATAGTTCCAAAAGAAACCAACCGCCTCAGCTGACCGTTACTAATATATGTACGCTCTATTAACTGTCAGAGAGCGTTCGTGGTAATTTGTGCAAAGTACAACTATAACGATAGTACCACAATAATCGCTGTATGCCGACACTATAAATATTGCGCACGGGTTTTTTACACTTAACTATATTTGTTTCACAATACTTATGACGATATCTAATGCACTTATACGAACTTTAAATTAAAATACGTTAATAATATATAATAATATTATTTTATTCCGCGTATAGCAATCGCTGCTGCTACGCACTACGTTGGGCAGAAATTAACCCTTTTCTAACTCGATGCGTTAGAATTATTTACGAACACGCACATACAACGCTTAATTCACGTACCCTAATAACGCACTTTCGTNGCTTAACTCACGTACCCTAATAACGCACTTTCGTTACGCAAATTTTCGCACTTTCACGTTTCCGATATTCACTAGACGTTCCGGGTGAAGGACCATATGTTTCGGCGTGATCTCTTACGACTAAAAGATCTTCGATAAATTAAATGAAAACGTAAAAGACAAAAAATAGATATGCGTTTATTTTATGTACGCGAGCGGTGCGCTTTACAAAGGTAGACTAACTGATTTTAAAACCGGACAACTATGCAGCCGCCGAACAACGATAAGATAAAACAACAATAGCTACACTTATTGTGTAGGCCTAAACAATGATCATAGTAAATGTTTAAGGATTTACCACAATTTATAATTACCATTAGAAATACATACTTACCATACCTAATAAAAATTAGAACTTACATTTATTTAAGTGAATATATTATGTATTAAAAATTTTTGGTTTAATTTAGATGTTTTTTTTCTAATTTATTTTGTCTATGTAATTTATAAATGATTTTATAACATTAAAATCTTTTTTTTCATATTTAGCATGATACTTTTAAGAAACATTCTTGCATTAAGTAAACTGTAATGTTCGACGGTCATAACTTCTGAAAGATTGTGTGGCAGTTATCTGCATCGTTAGGAAGCCGTTTGTTTTCATCTTTCATTACATACCTGGATCTAAACTCTGACTCGTTATACTTAGATGTTTGACACCATTACCATAAAATCTCATACAGTCCACTCATCACTATCAACAATTTCATCTATTCACCTGACTTTTATACTATTTATTATTTATTTAATTTAATTTAACTATTTTTTTTTATGCCGCTTCGCCGGCTATTAGTATTTAAGGGTACCCCGTTACCCCTTAAATCTAAGATACTCTTTGAAGAACTTCTAATATATGTCGTTATTTGTTATTTAATTATTGTCTATTCTCGTTACTTGTTGGATGTGCGGTTAGCCGTCATCCTCCCAGGTGACCCTTCTCCCGCTACAATAATAGCGATTTAAACAAGCTTAAGGTAAAATGGCATTCTAATGCGGTGCACAACTAGCCGTCCTACGGTCTAGTGGCCTCGTACAAAACAACTTTTCTATGCATGTAAGCTGTGAAAAATTATTCAATATTGGTAACCAATCTTTTGAAAGATATCCTACAATATTGATTTTTCGGTACTGAAGGTACAAGAAATGTTTCCAAGTCAATCTTAACATATTTCTTTCTTTAATAAATTCTTCTATATAGTGTACATTCTTATGCATTTTTGATTCTTATTTTCTTTTTGTTTAATTAATTGAATAAATTATGCGTATCACAGTTGGTAACTTTTTATTGCAATATTCGTATAATCTAATCATTAGTTTCTACAATATTTTGGTACAGATTATTTTTGCTATTTAGGTCTGATCTATTTTTGGAACTAGGTATAGTTAAAAATCTATATACGCTACTTGAATACATATTTAATAGCCACAAGAATCCAATGTCCTCTTTATTTTTGTCACACAATGTACAAATTTGTTTTTTTATGTTATTTGCATATTTACTAATGTTAAATATTGCAGTTATCTCTATCTTTTCGCTTTTCAATATGAGTTGAGTTATTCCCACATATACTTACTTATTTAGTGCTTTGACTCACTAAATAAGTAAGAACATTTTATATAGTTATTTCCCTCAGTAAAACTTAAATCAAACAAAATTGTCTTATAACATATATTTTTATACTATTAACTAATAATTTAAGTAGGAGTTATAGTTATTATAACTCCCACTTTTATTTTTTTTTTTTTAGAATTTCAAATTATTGTTATATATATATATATATATTTTTTTAATTTTACGATGCATATATTTATATTGGGTTTTTTTAATTGGCAATTATAAAAGGTTTTTGTTCTTTTAATTCCTATTTTTGAATTAGTTCTTAAAGAGGTTCCTGACTATCCTGATTTATACTTTATAAACACAGTTAATATTTTAATATTATTTAAAATGTTATTATTTTTTAATATTTTATATTTATAAAGTTGTAATAATTTAAATACTATAACAGACTCTTTTTTTTACATAAAAAAATACCCATTTATTTTTATAACACAATAATAATTGATTATATATATTGCTTAATAATCTTAGTTAACGATATAATAAGTAAATATATTTATTCTGAAAATTTTATATTTTTATATTAATAAGTATAAATTGATCATTTTTCAATAATGTTAACAAAGTATTCGATTTGCACAAATGTTTTACAAAACATACTTAACAGTTTTATAATTAACTTATAAATTCTTTTATTATCATTCATATAATATTTTATTTGTAAAATATATGAATAGGAAAAAAGGTAATATATTTGCGATATTTATAAAAAAAATTGAAGTTGGATTTATTATATTATAGTATAGTATTTGGTTTTTATATGAATTTAATAATTTATACTTTAATTTTATTCATTAAAACATGTTATTTACTGGATATGAATAACCTTACCAAAGATGAAGTAGATAAGTACAGGAAAGATAATTCAAATCTAATGGACTTAACAATACTTAGAAATACAATTTATACTGATCCAGAAACTGTTCAAGTAATTGATGAACATTTATTTTACAATAATGACGACATCGACGTCGTAGATAAAAGTAAACCCTACAAAGGAACTGCTCCTGTTGGGTTTTACACTACGGAAGTAATTGGAAAAACTCTGGGTGAGGTTATGAAAGAAACTATTGACAATAGAGATGATCTTTTCGAAGGTATGGTTTGGATTAGAAATGTTATCGAAAGTATTGGAATCACAACGATGCATCGCTTTTGCGCAATTACATCGAAATTTGCGATACCAAGAAAAAGGCGTGATATTAATTCACTTCTTCTGCAAAGTAAAAAGTTTTTTGTTTTTTTGAACGATAAGTTTACGGAATATAACTTACGAACTGAACCAATTAATGACTTATTATTATACATACATTCTGTCTGCAAAGAAAAACCAGTAGATTCTGTTGTGAGAAAAAAATATATTGAATCATGTGGTAATTTTATGATGCGTTACAGTAATTGTACAGGTTTGGTGCTTTTATGTAATTGGAAATCTATTAACGATCTCGAGACAAGCCTTCAATTGAAACCTGAATTAGATTTCACACTAAGTTTAACATATTTACGACTAATAAATTATACAAAAAATAAAATTTCACATGTATTGTCAAAAAAAAAATATATATTTATATCCTAAGACTATGATTTTTATAGGTATAACACTTTTGTAATTATTTATAACATAAAATTTATTTTATAAATTACTAATTACGTATATCTTAATTATTTAAGCTACTAAGTAAATAAATAATTTTATTATAATTTATTGTCATAAATCTTGATTTTATTAAATAATTTTGATCATTTTTACAAATAAAATAATACACAAAATTCAATCAAAAAAACCCAGCACATTGGTGACATGGCATAGTTGGATCAAGTATAATGATATCTGACAGTGATTAAAATTACAAAAAAAAAAAAAACTTCGATGCAATTCTTTAGATAGTGTTTAATTTTAAAAAATTTGTGGATTATTCCAAAAGCTACATGATCTGCTATTTTTTTATTAATATCATGATGAAGATAAAGTATGTCAAATGAGAACGGGATATAAATATTATTTCTCATAAAAAAATTGTGTTGATCCATATACTTTTCAATAAGTTATAAAGCATTATAAAGTTAAAAATGTAAAAAATAAAATCGAGAGTTTTCACACAAAATTAGCATTCAGTAGCCATTTTCACCGTGAAGACAAAATAAAGTCTGAATTTATTTTATTCATAATAAAGTACATTACATTAGCTTTAATTTAAGATATATATAAAAATGTCAGACTTTCCGAAATAATTTAAAAAGATAAGTTAAAGAAATAAATATTTTGTGAAAAAGTTGTCATTTTGAATTTCCCCTGTAGTCAGGTAAAGGGTTAGATTTATAAAAAAATGTACCAAGTAATAGGTAAAGACATCATTCCGTTATGCTGCGCTACAGTGTCGGTGTGATCGGGCTCTGCAGGGCTACGTAATGTCGGCACGAGCGCAGCTTCCCTAGCTCGGGGAATCGGGCGTGTCCTCAAGTTGCGGATAGATGAACGGCCTGCAGATATGCAGATTAGTCGCGAAATAATTAGAGCTGACCAAATGCTTGACAACCCTATAGATATACAGGGTAGCCGTGAAATAAGCCTATATGGACGAATAAGCGGTAGCGTTTGGGTGCGAACGGAGATAAACGACTACGCAACCAGTGAAGGTACAAGAAATGTTTCCAAGTCAACCTTAACATAATGACTCAACATAAAGAAATTACTTTAATTTCTGTAAAATGTAATGTACTTTACATTACATAAAAATTATTAATATTTTTAAAATTTCCTCCTGACCAGTCAAGTAGATTAGCCTTTTTATACACATTTTTAATTAATTTTTCCGTTTTATCGTTCCAATTAACTTTTAAATAGCATTTTCAAAAAAATGTATTCAACTTAGATTTAATAGCCACAAGAATCCAATCCTT